TGTGAGTGGGTGAGTGACTGTGTGAGTGGGTGAGTGACTGTGTGAGTGGGTGAGTGACTGTGTGAGTGGGTGAGTGGCTGTGTGAGTGGGTGAGTGGCTGTGTGAGTGGGTGAGTGACTACGTGAGTGGGTGAGTGACTGTGTGAGTGGGTGAGTGACTGTGTGAGTGGGTGAGTGGCTGTGTGAGTGGGTGAGTGACTGTGTGAGTGGGTGAGGGGCTATGTGAGTGGGTGAGTGGCTGTGTGAGTGGGTGAGTGGCTGTGTGAGTGGGTGAGTGGCTGTGTGAGTGGGTGAGTGGCTGTGTGAGTGGGTGAGTGGCTGTGTGAGTGGGTGAGTGGCTGTGTGAGTGACTGTGTTAGTGGGTGAGTGACTGTGTGAGTGGGTGAGTGACTGTGTGAGTGGGTGAGTGACTGTGTGAGTGGGTGAGTGACTGTGTGAGTGGGTGAGTGATTGTGTGAGTGGGTGAGTGACTGTGTGAGTGGGTGAGTGACTGTGAGTGGGTGAGTGGCTGTGTGAGTGGGTGAGTGGCTGTGTGAGTGAGTGAGGGGCTGTGTGAGTGGGTGAGTGACTGTGTTAGTGGGTGAGTGGCTATATGAGTGGGTGAGTGACTTTGTGAGTGGGTGAGTGACTATGTGAGTGGGTGAGTGGCTATGTGAGTGGGTGAGTGACTATGTGAGTGGGTGAGTGACTATGTGAGTGTGTGAGTGGCTGTGTGAGTGGGTGAGTGGCTGTGTGAGTGGGTGAGTGGCTATGTGAGTGGGTGAGTGACTGTGTGAGTGGGTGAGTGGCTGTGTGAGTGGGTGAGGGGCTATGTGAGTGGGTGAGGGGCTATGTGAGTGGGTGAGTGACTGTGTGAGTGGGTGAGTGACTGTGAGTGGGTGAGTGACTATGTGAGTGGGTGAGTGACTATGTGAGTGGGTGAGTGACTATGTGAGTGACTGTGTGAGTGGGTGAGTGACTATGTGAGTGACTATGTGAGTGACTATGTGAGTGTGTGTATGTTGAACTTTTTTTTCACCGTACGTAGCCAACCGTGCTCATCGGAGGCACGGGGGGAAGGGCAACAAACTAAACAAGCAGCAGTTCTAAAGAAATTAGTTTTGTTAATCTCGATGATGATGATGTCAAAGTGCATTATAGCTCCCAGTGACTTCCTAACATTGTAAGGACGAGCGTTCCAGACGGCCGCAGAAGGGCATCTGAAAGTGCCGCATGATGGTTACCCAGAAGCCGCTGTGAGGATGAGCGGAGTTTGTGGCGTGAAGCTTTACGCTCCTCTACGAGATCAGCAGCAAGGTGGCTCACGTGTGGCAAGCACTTTGTGTGTGTAAAGAGCGCGACTTTGCAATGAATTCGTTCCAGAAGCCAATGCAGTTCGGCGAGCACCAGACGGACACGGTGTCGGATCTCGCTGTACCCCGTCACGACGTGTGCCAGGCAATGTACACGCTGCAGCTGGCTCATGTTTTTGCCAGACGTCCCGTAGAGCAGCGAGTTGCAACAATCGAGCCTTGCCTACGACACTGCTGCCGCACGCCAACCGCGTTGGCTGTGTCATGACTCAGTAAGTGCCCGAATGTGTCGTGGTGCCCTGATATGAAACTTGCAGGACTTTGCTACATTTTGCACGCGGTGATCAAATGATACATTCTGGTCGCGTGCGGTTGCCGAGGCACTTGAGATGAGGAGAAAACTGGAATCTGGAGTCTGCGATCGCTACGACTGATCCTCTCTCGCTGGTCACCGTGGTCCCTGGATGGATCTCGTGGGCCGCGGTGGCTAACAGATGTTGACTACCTCGCCTGGTCTGCAGGAGGTCGTGAGTTCGATCCTGACAATGCCTGCTGCTGCTGCTGTATATTTGGAGTCTGCGTCTCTCTCTCATCATCACGGTGGCTAGGAGATGTTAACGACCTCGCCTGGTCTGCAGCAGGTCGTGAGCTCGACCCTGACGATGCCTGCTGCTGCTGCTGTATATTTGGAGTCTGCGTCTCTCTCTCATCATCACGGTGGCTAGGAGATGTTAACGACCTCGCCTGGCCTACAGGAGTTCGTGGGTTCGATCCCGACCCTGACGATGCCTGCTGCTGTATATTTGGAGTATGCGTCTCTCTCCCTGTGATCGCGTGGATTTTTTCTCCGGGTCCTCTGGTTTTTTCCCTCCACATTTAGAATCAACGTCTTGCATTTAGAATGTGTGGCTACAGCGACACATTTCCACGTGATAAGAACGCCACTTCGTTGTGCTGTTTGTTTGAGGCCAGGATGCTTCTGAAAAAGAGTTATACAGCTCAGTGGGCTCTACCTTGTGAAATATAATAGTTTAGTGTATGGGTCTCTATAGGTGTCTATGCATGTCTATGGGTCACTATGTGTCTCTAAGAATCTCTATGTCTCTGTATCTCTATGAGTCTCTATGAGTCTCTATGCGTCTCTGTGCGATTGGAGTATTTGGCTCCCGCTATAAATCTCCACACGATGATGATAAGCCGCTTCCATTGAACAGCGATCATTTGTGGCAGCCAGCTCCCTGCCGATAGAGAGCTACTGCATAGCTCAGCAGTGGGCCGCCTGAGCTGGGAAAAAGAAAACAAAATCGTTTTAAATAGTTGAGAACGTTCAGCACCAAGTCTTGACGAGCCACAAGTTCGTTGCACTCGAGGGTCATGCGTCTGGGCCCGGCACGGCACGGCCCGGCCCGGCACGGCTCGGCACGGCCCGGCACGGCACGGCACGGCCCGGCCCGGCACGGCCCGGCACGGCTCGGCACGGCACGGCCCGGCACGGGCCGGCCCGGCCCGGCACGGCACGGCACGGGCCGGCCCGCCCCGCCCCGCTCCACCAATGCAATCAACTCCAAACCTTGTCAGACCTCACTTTCCCTATCATCACCCTCCCTTCCCATCTATTCCCCTCCCCAACACTCAAACCTCGTCCCTTTTCCCCATCAGCCACTACTTATGTATACCATCTATAATTCTTGCAAAACGATTCGACAAAGGCACTTTTTAGAAATCCTACATAAGAGATGAGATATCGTGGAGCTCATAGCGCGACGTGAACCAGGTTCATACATTGGCCTTCGTAAGGCCCTCCGTGACATCCTAGAATAGTTCCCATCGTCATTATTTAACTAAAACTAAACTGTGATAATTGTTTTTTACCCTTTTATCTGGCAACAAAAGTGACACCTTTTTTACGAGTAGGCATGTTTGCATAGACCACAATACCTGCAGTCATAATGCAAACATGACTCCTCGTAAAAAAGGTGTCAGTTTTGTTGCCAGATAAAAGGGTAAAAAAACAATTATCATATTTTGCTACTGGCAAATGAGGTACCAATGGTGTAAATGCTTACCCGAGCTCTCATACTCTGATGGTGCATTGTCTTTGAGTTGTGCGCCTTTTGGCGTCATCTGGTCCAACCCATGTGAGACTAGGCTCTCAGGAAAGCTGTCTCGGGTGTGGACCAATCAACTTCAAGGACAGTGCACATTATCAGAGTTATGTTTTTTGTTTGCATTATGACTGCAGGTATTGTGGTCTATGCAAACATGACTCCTCGTAAAAAAGGTGTCAGTTTTGTTGCCAGATGGAAGGGTAAAAAACCAATTATCGTATTTTTTACTGGCAAATGAGGTACCAATGGGGTAAAACTAAACTCTGGATTATCCGCGTGTGGTTTATCCGATTTGCGGATTAACCACGCACCTGAGATTTTGACATACATTAATAACGCGCGGATTACCCCCTTAAGCCCAAATTAATATTTTTAAACAGTTATAGTATTTTGTTATTCTTGGAAATGTTTATTACAAGTCACACGGTGCTTTTAAGCCGAACAAATGTGCTCGCGATCGCCTCTACAGTCGTGCAGTCGTTGCGTATCTCTGTTACAACAGTGGGCGGCGAACTTTGATTGATGCTGATTGGCTGCGGCTCTGATGTCATCCACTCAGAGGGCTGAGTGTGATTGGCTGCGGCTCTGTTGTCATCCAATCAGGGGGCTGAGTGTGATTGGCTGTGGCTCTGTCATCATCCACTCAGGGGGCTGAGTGTGATTGGCTGCGGCTCTGTTGTCATCCAATCAGGTGGCTGAGTGTGATTGGCTGTGGCTCTGTCATCATCCACTCAGGGGGCTGAGTGTGATTGGCTGCGGCTCTGTTGTCATCCAATCAGGTGGCTGAGTGTGATTGGCTGTGGCTCTGTCATCATCCACTCAGGGGGCTGAGTGTGATTGATGCTGATTGGCTGTGGCTCTGTTGTCATCCAATCAGAGGGCTGAGTGTGATTGATGCTGATTGGCTGTGGCTCTGTTGTCATCCACTCAGGGGGCTGAGTGTGATTGATGCTGATTGACTGTGGCTCTGTCGTCATCCAATCAGGGGGCTGAGTTTGATTGATGCTGATTGGCTGTGGCTCTGTTGTCATCCAATCAGGGGGCTGAGTTTGATTGATGCTGATTGGCTGTGGCTCTGTTGTCATCCACTCAGAGGGCTGAGTGTGATTGGCTGTGGCTCTGTTGTCATCCACTGTGGGCTGAGTGTGATTGATGCTGATTGGCTGTGGCTCTGTTGTCATCCACTCAGGGGGCTGAGTGTGATTGATGCTGATTGACTGCGGCTCTGTCATCATCCAATCAGGGGGCTGAGTGTGATTGATGCTGATTGGCTGTGGCTCTCCAATCAGTGGGCCGAGTCTTCTGCTCAGTGACAACCCGGCGACCTGAGTTCGACTCCCGCTCACACGGCCACCAACACCGGTGGCGATTATTTGAACCGATCCTGGGCCTCCCCTATGTTGACTCAGCCTCAAACGAGTACCTGGTGCGGTGGGTAGTAAACATCGCCACTGGGGATACAATGGCGGGCGGGCGTGGTGCTGGCCACCCACTCTTCGTGAGCTGTGCCGGCATTCTTAGGTGCTGCTCCTGGCTAACAGCACTTGCCCCAGCAGCCTGTTAATGCTACACGGGGGGTCTGTGTGTTTGCGCGTGTGCAGGAGGAAGAGGAGCTTGATTACCGATTGTGGCTGAAAGGCCAAGCCGAGCAGGCGGAAGGAGTGGAGGACATGGTAACTCGCACACAACAACAACAACCGACATTCGCCACTAAGTGGCGGTGACGTCACCACGACGCTTGTGCCAGGCTATGTGCACCTTGAGGCCACATGAAGTGTCGAACGCCCGCTGGCAGGGGGTCACGGGGCAGACCCAGGTGCCACGGGTCGACTGACTGAGATGACCGAGATGACTGGCTGATGCACCACCTGTGCCCCTACTGTGCCAACTTGCTGTGTTAGCCACCCGGCGCTCCGCTCGTTGTTGTGAGCGTCGCTCCTCCGCCCTCCGTTGTTGTATTAATTACATTTTTCCATCGTGGTTTAGCAGTAATTAATTGAAGGTGGAGGGGTTACCAGCCCCTCGCACCCGTCCGGAGCCCCCATTTGGCCGCTGTGGTGGTCACAAACGCCATGAGGGGAAAGGCCAATCACACAGACACACACACACACAGACACACATACACAGACACACACACAGACACACACACAGACAAACACGGACACACACGGACACACACACAGACACACACACAGACAAACACAGACATACACAGACGCACACACAGATACACACAAACAGACGCACACACACAGACGCACACACATAGACACACACACAGACACACACATAGAAACACAGACGCACACACAGACACACACATAGACACACAGACACACACACAGACGCACACACAGACACACACACACATACGCACACACAGACACACACATAGAAACACAGACGCACACACAGACACACACATAGACACACAGACACACACACAGACGCACACACAGACACACACACACAGACGCACACACACATACACACACACAGACACACACAGACACACACACAGACACACACACAGACACACACACACAGACACACACACAGACACACACACAGACACACACACACACACACACAGACGCACACACACAGACACACACACACACACAGACACACACACACAGACACACACAGACACACACATAGACACACACACACAGACGCACACACACAGACGCACACACACAGACACACACATAGACACACAGACACACACACAGACACACACACATAGACACACACACAGACACACAGACACACACACACAGACACACACATAGACACACAGACACACACACACAGACACACACACATAGACACACACACAGACACACACACACACAGACACACACACATAGACACACACACAGACACACACATAGACACACAGACACACACACAGACACACACATAGACACACACACACAGACACACAGACACACACACACAGACACACAGACACACAC